CATTTTCTCGTTTTAATTTTTACATATTTTAGCTTCTGTTCCAGTTAAGAATGGGCATGTAATTGGCCCGAAACGTCCTGGCTGTTTTATGTCTCCTGTAGCCTTGTATACCCATTTGTTTTTGTATTTTAGTGTGTTCTTGTTGTTGTCTGCATTCGGGCTATTATGTGTCTCTCGCTCTCCTATTACTTCCTATATTAACATAAGATTTTGGTCAATTTTCCTTTCTGTGTATAAGTCAGAAATTGCACAGCTCGACTCGGTCAAGCTTGGGTTCGATCACAGGAATTCGGAAAGAAGGATATTTTTGTTGTCATCGTGGCAACGGAGAGTTACGTGCGGGGCCGTCAAGTTGTAATCTCAAGGGACGACGTTTCTTCTTGGGGAGAAAGGAAGGCAGAGTGCGCCGGGGCGCCCCGTTGATCAAATCCTCTAAAGCGTGTACTTCTTTCCGCGTACCTTTTCTATGCATCGTTGAAAGCTAAATAACTTGGATTCTGGAGGAAATTACACGCATCAGCAAGGATGAATCCTTACGAATTTTGGTGTCGGATTGTTGGAGTATTAAGAGAAGTTCCAGTCATTTGTCAATCGTCAGTGTCGAGTATTATGAGGACACGAATACACAGCTAAGAGCGCGAGATCAAGTGACAAAACCAAATTAAAAACGTGGAAACATTGACATGTTTTCTCATCACTGCACTCAAGAATTAATTTCTAATTTCGCTTATTCGAAGTCATTCTACGCCATTTTAATTTTTTCAATTTGATTTTAAAAAATTAAAAGTTTTTATGATTTGAGGGGCTTGAAAGACAAAGCGAATAAGCACAGTTTCTGCTATTCCGAGGAATACGTTTCGAAATTAAAAGGATCTTTCAGGCGGAAAAAAGTTTAAACGGACTATTAAAGTCTATGGAAAATATTCAAAATTTCCCATCGAAAATAAAGTTTTTATTGAGGAAAATATGGCAACATCTGAGGGCTCAAACTGCGTTTTTCCTCAGCACGGCAGCAAAGAGGTATGAGTAATATTTTCAACTTTTTTGCGGAATTAACTATGCACACATATTATTATTTCTATACTAATTTATTTCACTCGAGTTTTCTTATTTTTCTTCTTTTTGGAGGGGGGGGGGAGCGAGGGTATATAGAGGCTTTTGTTGGAAAATAACCCCGAAATTTCTTTCCGATATTTCAAACAATGCACAAGAAGCAACTCTTCTCCTCGCTCCAGCTAAGTTTGCAATCGACCTATTCACACGATGTTTGCTGAGCCATTGGGAGGCACCATGTCTTCAATTTCCTATCGATGAGTTGTGCATGAGCGAGAAAAGCAACCCTCCAACAACCGAATCACCCGGACGGGGAAGATTAGCGCTGAGCTCAGATCTGGGTAAAGATCTCCCCTCAACCATCGTCGATTTCATGGTCATTGGTCTAGGTGCGCTCGTTAAACCGCGATAATGAAGACTTTGCAAACACAAGCTCGCAAACTCAGCTACTGCCGGGCTCATCGCATCGTGCCAAAGCGTGCTTGAACTTAAATCCGCACCACAATACTGCCGTCCTAAGAAAATACAACATATGGGCCTTCAGGCGTTGCCAAATTGCCTCTGGCAAATCACCAATTTACAGGAAAATTCGTGGATATTTTCCCGCCAATTTCTCGGATAATTTTGTTTGTAATTTGGTTTACAGTGTCTGAAAATTTCAAGGAAAAATATTCATAATTTTCCTCAAAGATAAACATTTTATCCAAGGAAATGTGGCAACTCTCAAATGTTCATACGGCGTTTTTCCTTAGCGCGGCAGAATAATTCGGATCCGAATACTCGTTTCAGCGTGGATTAGCAAAGTAGGGAAGTTATGTTATTGACTTTTCGAAACGAAGAAAGATTCGCTTTGCATTGTCTGCGGGGCGATGCGATGGATAGGCACGACTTCATATGGGCCCCTTATCAAAGACCCGAATTTGTAGATAGTGCGACCATTTGAAATTGGGCGAGAATCTTGTCCGTGTAAGACAGGGTAACTACGGATGAAGACATTGATTTAGTGACTCTGTAATCCCTGGGACATTCTCAATTTTCGATGGTTTCATCGATAACAACTAAAATGGATATTTTTAGTGAATTTAAACAGGGCCGGTTTTTCCATACTTGCCGCCCATCGGCCGCCTGTATTTTGCTGCCCCCTTCTCATTCGTTTTGAAACATCAATAAAAACCATCAAGTGAACGTGCTACTAGCAAAAGGTCACGGAACTTTGCGCGAAAGTCAAGTTGCGTAAACCTATCTCTAATAGACAAGGCCTTCCATTCATAAGAAATCAACGAAAAAATTACGAAAGAACAAACACAAAATTTGGTTTAATGATTTTAACTTCGCACGCCGCGCTGCGCCGACCGCACCGTGTTTGACGCAATGCGTGAAGTATTCACGCAGTCTTGTATAGGCGCTATCCGTTTCACGCTGATCACATTAACCGCACTGTGTTTGATACAATGCGTGAAGTATTCGTGCAGTCTTGTAGGCGCTAATATGTGTTACATGCCGATTGCCGCGCCGAGGGCTCATCAAGCATGAGCGATTATCCTCAATCTTATTGCAATAAAATCGCGATTTTACCGCCCGGCAATTTACAGCGATATTAACGCTACAAAAATCGCGATATATGGCGATTTAATCTCGATTTTATCGACGAAAGTTGATCGCGATTTTATTGAACAAAAAATTGCGATGCATAGCGATTTAATCGCCATAAATCGCACTTTTTTATTCGATATAATATTGCGATCAATTGCCACTGATATAATCGTGATAATCAAGCGATGAAATCGCTATTTATGACGATCACTGCTACTTGGGGTAGTTCCGTCACCAAAGATGCATTTAAAAATGAAAAAAATGACTTGAACGCACACTCCAAGTGCTAATGAAAGTACCGATAGGATTTCTTCATTAGAAGATAACAAGGAGGAGCTGAATACTTTCACACACTGGCAATAAATCCGCTGCCACCACCGTACGGTCGAAGCCCGACCGGGGCGGAAACCGAGGCGGAAGTTTAATGACGTCACGCTGCAAAGTTCCCCGTCCGTCTGGGGGCATCGGGAATTTGTGGGTCAGAGGGCCAACACTGCGACGCATGTGCCCTTGTGCCCTGCACGTAGTCAGCTGCTCCGCTAAAAAAGAACGTCCTATCAACATGTTGACGTTGCCGACTTCATCTCATAAAGTAAATATATTTCCTTTAAAGACAAATTGTGCATTTATTTAAATAGCTTTTTCAGATTATTCTATTCGCAGTGGGCCTTAGACAATAGGTATGAATGGAGATGTTGCATGTGTGAGGAATTTGAGATTTTACTATTGATTCTTACGTAAAAGTTCGCGAGAAACACGATGGTGCCATTGGTTTGCTCTGAAATTAACTCCCAAGCTCAAAAAAAGCTCTCAAATTGAGGCCAAAATGGAGGGGACATTCCACGCTATCCTGAGAGTCCACATCTACATCCAGACAATAACTCTCCATGCAAAGATAGGGAGCAAATACATTAGCAGTGATGCCGTGTTTTCAGTTTTGGAGTCCCCAAATAACGTGGCAGCCCTGTCAGTGTATTTGCTCCCTATCTTTGCATGGGGAGTTTGTCTTGATGTAGAGGCGGACTCTCAGGATAGCGTGGGATATCCCCTCCATTTTGGCCTCAACTTGAGAGCTTTTTTTAGCTTGGGAGTTGATTTCAGAGAAAACCAGTGGCACCATCGTGTTTCTCGCGAACTTGTATATGAGAATCAACAATCATATCGTAAATTCCTCACACATGCAACATCTCCATTCCGGGAGCTCCTTTTCGAACTTCCCGTTTTATGAATCGATTTTTGCGTAAAACCGTGGAAAGGGAATACGTGAATTTTTTTAGTCCCGACCTTGTCTAGTGGCCTGTTTGATCGAGTGAATCCAAGAATTTCGAGGAATCATATTCGCGACATTTCTCGAAGATAAATTTTTGGGGCAACACACGAAATTGGCAACACTCGAAATGCTCTTACGGCGTTTTGACTTAACACAGTAGTGAGGCTCGACGAGTGTGTTACTAATTTAGTATCTTTTTCTCCAGAACTCATGTGTGCGCCTACTGAATATTGAAATAGTGGGCAAAAGAAACAAGGTTGAAAAATTAATGGGAGCTGGAGGCCGGGCGTGAGGATTTCTCCAGAAAAAAAATCCCCACCCTTTGAAATGCGAGTCATAATCTTTTTTTCCTCGAATACGAATGCTTTGCGTCTAATATTAGACAGCTTTACTCATCCCAAGTAGCATTTCTCAACGAAAAAACCGCTATATTTTGCGATTTTATCGGCGATAAAATCGCTAGGATCATCAACATCTGAGCGATTATCCTCGATCTTATCGCGATAAAATCGCAATTTTATCGCCCAGCAATTTATCGCGATATTTTCGATATGAAAATCGCGATAAATGGCGATTCAATCTCGATTTTATCGAAAAAAATTGATCATGACTTTATCGAACCAAAAATTGCGATGTGTAGCGATTTAATCGCCCTAGATCGCGATTTGTAATGCGATAATATCTCAATTTATTGCCACCGATATAATCGCGATAACCAACCGATAAAATCGCTATTTATGGCGATCACTGCTTCTTGGGATGGTGGATTCCGGGCTCCATTTACTTTTCTAGTCGTATAGTTACGATGTTACTGCGTCTGCAGCAAATGAACCAGCACCGGTAACGATGTTTCGGCCCCGATAACATTGCTGCACTGTTACTGAAACCGAGACAAGTGGCACCCGAGGCGATTTTCGGGAGGATCAACCGATTCGGACGTGTTGTGTTTTTTGTGTGTTACGTTTTTAGGGGTACATTGCTTGAATTCTTTGATTATTTTAATTTATATTTGTTGGAAAATGCCTTTATTTCTATTTTTAAAAGTAGGAAGTTTGCACCGAAAACAAATAATGCTGACTCTATATTACTTAATATGAAAAACATAAATTACATGATCACAGAAAGCCGGAACAGTTAGAATACCTAAATCTAATGCGTAGAAAATTAATTACATTAAAATTTATAGATAAATACACGAGCTATAACCGTGCATTTCACAGAAACTGCTCGAATAGGATGCATTACTTGAAAGCGGGGAAGAAATTGGTCAATGAATGAATTTTGGTATGTATTCAAATTAGCTTCCTAAAAATGTTAAAAGCTATATTCGAGCGGGTTTTTATAATACAAAGATCAGAGTTCAGAAAATTCTCAGCTATGGTTGAGGATCTGGGACGGAAAAAATCAAGAAGAATTATTTGTAGTTTAATTCATCCTTAATTCAGGCGGTTAAAACTTTAAAATCTATAAAATAAATAAATTATTTAAAAAATAAGATCCTTGAAAATTACGAGAAAGAAGAACCTGAGAGATAACAAGTCACTGAAGTTGAGCGAGAAGCAGAATGAAGATATTTGTTGAATTAAATTAACGATGAAAATGCAAGTTTGCATCAATAATATGGTTACTAGTACCGAAACAAGTGAATGGAAGTATGATAACCGGTGAATTGCCTGGAAAATATTTATGAATAGACACTCCCTGATAAACAGAGAGGCGCAAAGATGAGAGAGAAAATATAGAAAGAAAGATGAATTGCTTTGTTAGCAGTGAATGATTTTTTGTTGTCCAAGTGTTTGTTTGTGTGTCTGTGCTGTGTAAGTGTTCCAAAGTCACGACAATTTTCCGTCACGGTACTTTCTTAGTCCCAAGGTAGGAGATGAAGACAGAAAAAGTATCAGAGGCAAATCAGATGATAAGGAGATAACAGGTTGATATGAAACAGGATGGGGTCTTCTCGTATGCGCTACTAAACTACGCAGGAACAAAAATCTCATAGACCAAAGACAGGTAAAAACTAAAACAAGGTAATAAATATTATCCAAAAAATCTTGCAAGCCGACTGAAATTTTCCCAAAATCCATTATTTAAGCCAAAGGCTTCCCGCATTTTGACTTGCACGGCGAACTCCCACCTCTAGAAGCCGTGCCTGACGAAACGGTTGTAACCACTGAGGGATAGGTAGGGGTTGCGAGACCTCCACCAAGCGTTCCGGATGATCTACTCTCCACGTAATACGAGGAACCCGACTTGGATGACGTCAAAGGCAGAGCCTGGGCCGATCGACCGGAGGATTCGACTCCATTTCTGTGCTTTCTTGAAACCCGACTCTCCTCGAAACCTGACCCAGGCGTTGAGGAGACGGATCGAAGTCCTGGAGATTCAGTCGAGTGGCTCTCCTCGAAGTGCGAGGAACCTGATCTTGGTGGTGTCGTGGTGACGATACGCACGGATCGAGTTCGTGGAGACTCGTTTCCATTTCTGATCGTTCTCGTTACGTGGCTCTCCTCGTAGAATGACGAGCCTGATTTGAGCGATCTTGAGGCTGCAGGTCGTGGAGATTCGTTGCCGTCTTGGTTAGTTCTTGATACGGTTCTCCCCTCGAAGAATGACGAACCTGATTTTGGAGATACGGATCGTGGAGGTTCGGTTCTTGACACGTGAATTTCTTCGATTAACTTCGAACCTGATCTTGGCGTTTTCGGAGGTCGTGGAGATTCGTTACCATCTCGGTTTGTTCTTGATGTGTAACTTTCTTCGAAGAGTGCCGAACCTGATTTGGGCGACGTGAGTCGAAAAATCTCTTGTCCACCTCCGCTTGTTCCTGATGCCCGACTCTCTTCGTGGAATGATGAACCCGATTCGTGTGATGCGGGTCGGTTTGTTCTTGATACCTGAATCTCCTCGTGGATGGACGAGCCTGATTTGGAGGATGGAGGCCTCGGAGAGTCAAGACCACCTCGGCGGGTTCTTGAAAAGTGGCTCTCCTCAAGCTTTGATGATGATCTGGGTGACGATGGAGAGGCTGAGGCTGTGTATATCGTGGATTCAGACTCATTTTTTTCGCCGTGAGATGAGCCTGATGTTCGACTGTGAGATCGGGCTAAGTTGAGGCCTTGAGCCAGGCTCGCTATGACACCCCTCAAATTCTGGATGTCCTCCTCTGTGCAGTCGTCTATCGAGTTGTTGGCCTTTAACTTTTGAATGGCTTCGTCGGCGGCCAGGCTGGCATTTTTCTCCGCGGCGCCGCTGAGAGGCTCCGGCTGGACTCCCAACTGTCGCAAGGCTTGATCCTCGATCTTCTTCAGGTTTTTGATGGCTTTCTCGCAGGCGTTCTTCTTTTTCTCCGGGGTCGTTGGGTACTTGACGCATTTGCAGAAGTTGTTCGCGCAAAGGCCGGTGAAGGACTTGTCAGGCGTTAGAGCCTTGCAAAAGCGCTTGCATTGTTTCGCTTTCTTCCGATCACCGCAATCCGTGTCGAAACCTTTCATTGCAGCCACTGAAATGAAAAAAAAAAACGTTCGTTACAAAAAAAAAAAAAAAAAAAAAAAAAAAAAAAAAAAAAAAAGCACTCGAATATTTGTCAGAGAATAATGAAGTCAAACATTGCCAGCGAAAAAAAGTTGTTTTTTATATTTTTCACATTCAAGAATTGATCTTTCACAAGATTGAATGATTCCCAGCGTTGCGTGTTTCACGTGGAATTGTACGTGAAAAATTATGACCAGAATCAAAACTAATTGAATTAGATGTATTTCTACTAAACGGAACTAAGTTCCAATTTGAGTTTTTTTGAGGATTTTAGAATCCCGGATAGCGCGTTCTGTCCAACAGAACTACGTGCCATGGAAAATCATTCTGAGCATATAAGCCTGTGCCACACTATCAAAATACTCCATCAAAATGTCAAGGTCAAGTGCTGTGATTGGTCCAAGTCATCGAATAAACCAATAACAACACCTGACCTTCATATTTTGATGGCTAGCTTTGATATTGTGACACAGGCTATCCGACGAAACGAGCTCCGTAGTCCGCTGCACCCGCCAATCAAACTTTCCCTCTCCCCTCTTTCCCTTATGCCGCTTAGTTCCGTTTAGCAGAATTATTCCGTCCAATTACTTTTTATAATACACCATAATTAAATGTTAAAAATTGAAATATATCCAAATCGATGACAAAAATACCGTCTGGATCGATAGAAAAAACGTCCGACGAACATTTTTCACATTGGAATTATTTTAGATCAACCGATATTCTGTAGTCAATAACAAAAGTCTGGTCATTATAAAGATAACTTCAGGGTAGAAAATATTACCTGAGGCTCAAACGCAACGATTTGCAAGCTAAGTTCATCGCAATAGTCACGTCTAGTAAAGTAGTAAAAGTATTGCTCGATTCTTGATTAAGAATAAAAGAAAAATAATAAAAAGCTAACTTTTTGCCACCAAGAATTTCAATCAATTCAGTATTCACCATCAAAAATTGTAGAATTCCATTTCCCTGTTTGTTTCATTCTGCGAATTCGCGGATGTACGAGTACATCATGGTGAGATTTTTCTTTGAAAAAATTCAAATGCGCACATATTTTTGTGTATATTCAATCTAAAAGCTCGGAATCTAACATGAAAAAACTATCACAGATAGATCACAATCGTGCTGAATCTGTGCCCACGACAATGACACATATGTTTTATTACTGGTTTTTTTTCATCCTTTTTTTTTTTAAGTGTTCGCATTCTCAGAATCTATGGGCGTATGAACTTGAATACAAATGGGTGCGTGCTGTGCACTTGTACCCAGATTGAAAGGCAAAATCGTCATACGCGATGGTTTGACTTTTCCTGTTTTTGAGCAGCCATGATTCCACTGTCGCTGATGATCTCACCCCAAGGCTCGGCCTTGAACCTAACTCATCGGTTGAGACACTGACAGTGTTCTGCTTTTCCCCTAAAATTTTAGGAGAAACCTGAAAAATTATTACTTACAAAAACGTTTGTTCATCTTCTTCCGCAGTTTATGCTCTTCTTTGAGCATGCAGCTGCAGTATCCGGTTTCGCAACTTCCGGTCATCGCCTCGTCTTGCTTCACACATTGAATTTTGCACAAATATTTGCCGATTTTCGGCTGGCAAGCGAACGTCATTTGAAGTCCCGAGTGGTCATCCATCAAATCCTGCACAGCGCCAATCACTGAAAGGAAAACGGATGCGGTGATGATTAGAGTCCCTTTATATTGAGAGTCAAGACAATGTGAATTCATTTCTGATTGGTTCCCGTATTTTTGGCCTTCACAGTGCCACAAACGGGAGTAAAGATTACATTTTCACCGATTGCAAAGATTATAATCTGGAGTGGACCAAGGAATTACGGGTTCGGCAAGGAGCAAGCGGAATGAGAGAAGGAACGGAGAAAGGAATTTGAGAATGGACCGATCAAAGATTACAAAAAACGTTCAATTTCTGTAATCTTTATTCCCGTTTGTGACTCCATGAGAGGGTGTTGTATTGACTCTCAGTATAAAGGGACTCTAGTAATGATTATGTCGGGATCGAGCAAATCAATGCCTAATTTAAAACAGGTGTTCCTAAAGGGGCACTTGACATGAAACCAAAAGAAGCACTTATGACCTTATTTTTATAAAATTTGCCTCTCTGCCTTTTCACGTGGAATTTTAAAAAAGTATTCGTCTGAAAGCTGATTAAAGTAAATATCGACAGCGTAAGTCCGCAATTCTCATATCTCGTTTGCGGTGTCTGAAAATCTCCGCCTCTATGTTATTTTTTTAAAGGAGAACAAATCGACATCATTCCTTGAAGTTTTCGCAGAATTTTCCTCGCACAGAGAAGAAAAATCACGGTAGTTTTAAAGTATGCCGTTGAGTAGTTTTCCGTTTAAAAGATGAAGTATGACAGGAAGTCTGCGACGTCGCAAACCGAGTTATTTGATTGCCGACTTACACTGTCAATTTTTACTACTGCTGTTTGAAAAAGGCGATACCAGGACCGGATTCACCTACTTGCCGCCCATGGGCCGCCTATATTATGCCGCCTCCTTCTCATTCGTTTTGAAACTCGATAAAAACCATCAAATGAACGTGCCAGTGGGGGAGGGGTGTATACGACGCATTTACTCGTGTTGAACACATTTTTTGGGAAAGCCCTGGCAGCACTACTGGCAAAAGTTCACGAAACTTTGCGTGAAAGTTAAGTTCCGCAAACCTATCTCTGTGTGGACAAGGCCTTCCATTCATAAGAAATGAACGAAAAAATTGTGAAAGAACAAACATAAATGTGGTTCAATGATTTTAACTTCCGCCGCCGCGCCGCGCCGCACAGATCGTAGCGTGTTGGACGCAATGCGTGAAGTATTCATGCATTCTTGTAGGCGCTATCCGTTTCACGCTGACCGCAATGACCGCACTGCGTTTGATACAATGTGTGAAGTATTCGTGCAGTCTTGTAGGCGCTAATATGTGTTACATGCCGATCGCCGCGCCGAGGGCTTCTCCTTTTCACCTCAAGTCCTCGTTATCATTTCTCTCCAAGTCGAGCCGTTCCAGGCCAAATTGTGTGTTCGGACTCTCTCTTAACTCGACTTATTGAAGGTGCTGTCTCTTGTATCACTAAGAGACGACAAAATTAGAAATTACTATACTCTCAGGAAATGAGATATTTTGTCGCCTTTTCTCGTTTCTAATTTTGTTTTTATAAATCCGATTTTTTTTTTATACCTACACTTTAAAAAATTGCAAATTTTTGCCGCCAAAAATTGGCGTTTGAACAGTTCCAACCTTGTGGCAAGGATTATAAATGTGTGAATGTGATTACCGTCATTTGAAAGCATGTATCCATTGTTGTTGGAGGTGTCGTACGTTACTTGCCCCCCGATGGGTATGCTTTGCGATAATATGGATCGGAAATCAGAGGCAAGTGAGTTGTCAAACTGGTCGTGGTTTATTCCCTCGTCCTCATGAAAGGAGGAACGTGATCCCGAATGTGCTCCTGAGTGTCCATCGGAACTATCCCATCCATAGTCCATGTCATCATAATCCTCAAAATCGTTATTGAATTCTGGAAATTAAATATTTTCGGATTAAAAAAACAGAAAATTTGAAATTGAATTCTCGAAGTGAGGAGAAAATATTTGATTGACGAAAACAGACGCATGTTTCTATCCGTGAGAGAAAAACAGTATCAACAAAATAAGTGAAAATTAGAATTAAAAAAATGATCAATTCATCTGAAAATATCAAAGAAAATATGATTTCCTCTCCTTTAGTAAGGCCTTAAGTAACAAGATTTGACTATTGGTAATAGAAACTCAACAGGTGCAAAGCCGGATTAGCCGGGGTGCTGTGTCACCCCAGGCCTTCCTGCGCGATTTTTTCTATTACCTATTCAAAATCCTCTAAAAGTCTTTGGAGTTTAAAAGAGGCCCTAACACTGAAGTTTTTGGTGTCATGGGGTCCCCAAATAGGATTTGGGGCCCTAATGACTAGCGCCCCGGGCCACTGAGCGTTAATTTGGCCTTGAACAGATCGCAGCAAATTTAAAGGCAATTTTTATAATATTATTTTTGGTGTAGTTTTATCATGGCGCGTGAGCTTCCTGACTCTTCCTCTCCCCTCCTCCCTTTTAGAACAAAAATGTTCATAGAAAAGCGAATAATTTACACATCGAAATGTATGCGAAGTATACATAGGCCACTTTAAATTCCTTGAGGTGTAAGTTTTAACAAGTATCAATGAATACCTTTGCTGGTGTGAAAATCATGCTGCCCACCCCTCAGGTCAAATATTCTTGACTTTTCTTCTCTTGATACTTCATGAACTGGATTATTTCCTGAAAATAAAAAAAAAAAACTATAATTAAATTTATTACGTAAAAGCCGGCTCCAGACTACGCGGCATTCGCCGAATATTAAAGGAAGACCCCTATTCCGTCAATACAGACCCTTTTACAACTTTTCATCGATAGAAAACCAGCCGCTACGAACTTGCTGCGAGAGGTATAACGGGCAAGCGAGATAGTTATTAAAATAACTAAACGTCTACAGGCCTCGCCCTCAACTGTTGTAGTAGTGGAAAATAAGTAATCAATGTAATTAAGAGAAGAAATTCCTGATTCCTAGGGCTTCCACGCCTCCGAAGCTCTTTTTTTATAATTGTTTAACTTTTAGTGAATCAAATTGATCAAGGCTTCAGGACAGGTGGGAAGGGATGCTTTGAGTCAGTAGCCTTACGAAGATAGAACATTAAAATACAATTTTACTGCAAAAAGTGGCTGCCATCATGATCCTCCATTTTACGTAAAAAATGAAGTGCTGAGACAAAATGAAATGGAGAGTGTGAGAAGTTCATGTTGAGAACAAGGCAGTGCGCACAACGTTCCCACTCTGATAACCTCGATAGTAAGCTTTTTGGAGGGTAAATATATCTCCATTGGAATGACAAGTTCGTTCATAAGCACCTAAGTTCGGTGATCCGTATCAATCGTAATATTCGGTTTTTCAAACTAAAATCTCAATTTTTACCGAATTTCTCTCCTCAGCTTAGTAGAATCCAAAAGTTCAATTACAAGAACCTTTCTTTGGACTGATAAATCGAAAACCCTGTTACCAAACAGATTAGTTCTCTCGACATAAAACACCATAATCCATGATCGATGCCTTTTATTGTGTTGTTGTTCTTGTTGTTGTAAAGGAAGTTCATCTTTGAAAAAATAAATTGTAAGATGAAACCTAGGGGGCCCGCTAAATTACGTAACGCAATTTTCCAGCATTTTTGATCCTCCCTCCTGTAACGCTTCTGTGAAGTAGGTCCTTATCCTTTTAAATGTAAAACAAAATGGCGTAACAACACCCCCTCCTCCTATTGCATTACGTAATTGAGGTACGGCCTCTTGTCGATTGTCAAAACTATAGCAAAGCAGAGGCGGATCCAACAATTTGGCAACACCGAATTTCTCCATTTAAACCTATATTAAATAATCGACTCATGTCGGAGCATCTGGCCCCTCCAAGAATCGATACATTTCCATAGGTTTAAACGGAGGAAATCCGGCGTTGCGAAATTGCTGGATCCGCCGATGTAGCAAAGTAACAATAAAATCACCGGAGTCCTCGCCAGAATCGTACGAATCGTAATCATAATCGTATTTGTAACTCCTGTTGCATCCAGAAGTGCACCCTGAACCGTGCTTGTGTCCATCGTTGCGGAATTTCTGCATGAAGACATCTTTGAACGTTTTGTAGCCTCGATCGTCGCGTGATGCCCGGGTAGCGTGTCCATCATGACCCCACTCACCGCTAAAATCCGACCGAGCATCGTCCATGATACGTATACTTTTCCCTGAAATTATACGGGAGGAAGTAAGTTTTTTTCTTTCATACCAAGGACCAAGGGCTGCGCCCTATGGCCAGTGGCAATTCCTGAAATTTGGCAACACTGATTTTCCTCAATTTAAATGTATGTAAAACAATCGATTCTTGGTGAGGCAGCCTGTTTCACCGGAAATCGATATTTTTAATGGATTTAAATGGAGGGAAAACAGTGTTACGAACTTGAAAAATCGCCACTCCCGCTAGTAAATTGCTACGCGATCCCCCCAGTGACAGCTTCGTGCCCTGAGGACGCTACCACCTGGACCATATGTGTACAATTTAAATTGGCCGGCCTTATTAGGAAGTCAAGTTTTGCCATTAGCCTCAAAAATCATGGAGATTGGTCCAGTAGATTTGTGTGGGCAAAGCGTGGAAAACATGAAATTTTGGGTGTTAAGGAGTACCTAGCTAAACGTGTAATACCAATATTCCATCCGTACAGTCATGGAGCAAATTACTTGGGGCTCATAAACTGAAAACAGTTGCGTGTTTACGCTATTGTGTATGCTGGGCATCGTTGTAACAAGTTTAGATCATTCTTCCGGCTCCAAAACTAGAAGACCTTCATATCTTTAACGAAAAATTAGTTCATTCTGCGTCTTAAAATGCGTAGTTTTAGTAGTTGAGCCTCAAATTTACAGACCATTTTACGATCTGTAAAACTATCGCTGAAAAATCCAATGAATCACTTTCGGCGTTAGTCCAAACCATCAATGCTTTTATATTCTTCTAATGAATATCGAAGGCTAAAGTGCAAAACCACGTATTTTCATTGCAGTTCCCCAAAATATCTGTTCCTAATTTATTTTTTTGAAGAGAAACAAGCAACTACAGCGGATATCGGATACAACGACCTTGAAGGGACCGGCCTTATTCGGTCGTTATAGCCGATAGTCGTTATAACCGATGGTGGAACGGTTACCCACGTACCTTATGTTGAAGAGCTGAGAACAAGGCTACTCGTATGCTATCTAATTTTATTTGAATTGAATATTTATTTCATTCATGTATTTTTTATTATTTATTCTGGGACTAATTTTAATTAAAACACTTTGTTTGAATTTGTAAATACAATGTATGTTATAATATTGAGATTACATATGCATTACACACTATATCATGTTTGCACTACATATGCGCAATACCGAAGAAAAATATCCTCTTTGTCTTGATCATCGGATAGGCTTTCCGAAGGCGGTTCTGTAGACTGGAACCCTGCATGATGGAAACAATTTTTAATAATTATCTTATAGGCGTAACATCTTCCCATGCTTGAGCTACCATTGAAATAGCGTCTAAGATATTCAACTCAAAAGTCTGGCCTTTCTCCAGTTTTTGCAGATATAGCAGAACAAGTAGCTTCCTTTTTCGGGCGCGTGATAATTTGAAAAACATTCCAACGAAATCTCACTGTACCTCGCTCAGGTCATTGGAACCGGTCACCACATCTGTTGGAACGCGAAAACTCCGTTGCTACATGTATGATCGATATGTCGTTATATGCGATGTCGTTGTAACCGATTCATAAATACATTGAATGAATGGGATTTCAGCCGGGACCGACCAGTTCACGTCGATATGCCCGATATGTCGTTATAACCGATGTCGTTATATCCGATATCCACTGTACATCGTTTGAAATTGTAACGAAATATTCCGCTAATAAAGAGGAAACAGCATGGAAGTTCTCAGGAAATTAAGTTGGCAAGTTTTCAAAAGAAAAAATCAAGTATGACCGGAAGTCTGCAATGTCGCAAAGGGAGACATGTGGTTTCGCACTTTAGCCATCGATACGGTAGCGAGCACCGAATTACTTTTCACATGCGTGAGTTCAGGAAAAATTACCAGAATCCGATATTTAAAGAATATGTCAGATTCATCTTACAATAGGACGTATTTCTGCCAAACGGAACTACGTGCATCAAGACATGAGCCCTGAGACCCGTCGGAATATATGCATAAAATGGCTCACGTCATTATGCACATAGACGTCATGCACGTCATGGGCTCCGTTTGGCAGAAATACGTCCAATTAGTTCTAACTGTCGATAAATCTCTCACCTGAACTCGGCGAAAATGAGACACCATCCGAGCCGCTATCGAACTTGGAGAATCCATGACCTCCACCGGCCGACCCTCCACCACCGATATTGCCGATAGACAAATGCACACCTCCATCCCGAGTCACTCGCACAGAGGCACCTCCTCCTCCTCCATTCTTGATGGAGATACTGCTTCTTCCTCCACCACCTCCACCGCCGCCTCCTCTCGTAAACCCAGAAGCAAACCCAGAAGCAAACCCAGGCATACCTCCGATCGGCGGTGCAAAACCAGGCATAGCTCCGAACCCACCGACGTCGAACATGCTGCCACCGAGGCCGCCTCCACCGAAGCCACTCGCGCCGAAACCACTTCCACCGAAGCCGCCGAAACTACTTCCACCGAAGCCGCCTCCGCCATTGCTCCTGCTCGCGACGTTATATCCGCCTCCTCCACCACTTCTGCTACTGGACCAGTAAACCGAGTGACTGCCACCGATGGGCGACGCGCGATTGGGGCAGGGGCCGCGGGCCCCGCCGCAGCCGGCGTTGACCGAGGAGATGCCGGCCATGATGGCGGCCATAAGGACCACCCGAAAGATCGTCCGGAGCGCGCTGCTCCCGTCGTCGGCCTCTTTGTGTCTCATCGTGGCTGTTGTCGCGCGGGAAGCCGACTCGGCTATGGAGAGACGGGGCCGCGAGCGTCGCCATAAATCCCGGTGCCTCCTCGCGCCAGCGCCCGGGGCCTGTGCGCATTTTTCCAACCTGGAAATAACATGATCGGCGGGCAAAAAAATATTTAGCGTCAGATCCGAGCGGCGGTGTCAGCTTCCCCGAATTTCTTCGCACTTGAAAAAAGATCTTCTCAGAGTTCACGAAAAAAAGGAATGATAATTTTTTCTACAAGGAGATTCACTGGAAAAAAATACATTTGATCTAGAGTCCAGACTCTTAAAAACATCGACGGGAAAAAGTGCTCTTGATTCAATCAGAATTTAGCTTAAATCAAGAACCAAGCCTCTTAATTTAAGCGGAGTTCGTTTTGATTCAAGCAAAAATCCGATCGAATCAAGAGTATTTTTTCTTGTCAATGTTTTTAAGAGTCTGGACTCTAAATGCAATGTGTTTTTTCCCCCAGTGTTTGAAGGATTTTTTACGCCGTGACGTAGGTGGGTACAACATGGCGGCAATTTCCACCAGCAAAATTCGAAATTTAAAATGAGAAAAACTGACGACAATGCCCGTTTTTTGGCTTAGCTCAACTCGAAAAAAAATTTCAAACGCCTCATATAGATTGATTCTATCCATAAAATACAGAATTTTTAAGACAATTAATAGCAAAAAAACATCTGTACCTACTTTATGCGCCACCGACGAAATCCAAGATGCCCGAATGCCCCCTTTTCAGGGGGGTCGCTTTGAAATTTTGGGTTTTTCCAAAGTTGTTTCCCTCGACATAGGAGGCCTCACAAAATTTCAAATTCGTATCTGAAGTTCAAAAGTTACAGTGGTGATGCTAAGTTCTTGCGATGCAGAATTTTTGGATCACATATTCCAGGCTGATTTTGTTGTCGGTTAGAGGCTTAGGTAGCTGCCCCAACCCGAGGAGTTTGGCGGAATTGTATAGTTAAATCAACCGTGCCTCTTGCTGGCGACAAAATCAGCCGAAAATATCGTTGAAATTATCATACTTTTTTCCGTATGACTTTCCATCAATTGTGAGATTGGAAAATAAAATCCTAGCAGTAAAACATGTATAAAGTCTCAAATTGATAATTTTGATTGTCTTAATATCTTCAGAAAATATATTCGCGAGAGACGGTTACGAGTAATGGATCATGCTGTGCGTTTTTTGATCTGAGGAGGAAGTAGCATTCTCTTTGTGAATTCCCACAGAAATTGTTCGATGTGTCAAAGACTGAAAGTTCGGTTCTTAGATCAGGTTCGGGAAAGCCGAAATGATCAACTATGACGATACTCTTCCATCAAAAAATCATACTTGCCAACTTTTTCAACCACTATCATGAGCTGAAGCTCCGTGGACCATTACATATAATATTTAGAGCCTAAAATTACACTACATTTTGCATTAAGAAACCACCAGTTCTCATTATTCTCAACCATTCTCATCAGCACTTACGTTTTTTGTAAAATGAGCTAAAAATTTTAGTTCCTCATTGCAAAATGAAGCTTCATTCAAGTAGACGAGTTTTTCGGTTGCATGAGTAGAAAAGTTGAACACTTTCAACTTTCAACTCAACTTCAAAAAAAGTTCAAAAAGTTTAGAGGTCGGTACGAGGGATGGGTCGCAGTAAAAAATAAAAAGAACTCGGTCTGTTTCATCATGCACGGATTTTCATCGACGGAAAATCCAACCTACGTAACAAAAAGTGCTTTCTTTTCCCAGGAAAATCGCAAGATTTCACTTGGTAACAGTAATTTTCAGGCGGTTATAACGTGAAAAGCACAAGCAAGTCTTCAGCATTGCGGTCAACGGAAAACTTGGCAACAGAGGATTTTCGTTTTCCCCTCGTTCATGCCCCTCGGCTTTAAGCACGTTGACATCAGGCTTTTAAAGTGCTTTTTCGCGAGTTCCCAACTGCGTTTTTACCTTTATAATTGCGTCACCCAATCACCCGCTTTTTGTCACCGCGATGCGACATTCGAGGAAAGCCGTGCGTCGGGTGAATCCTCGTTCGAAATTTTGTTCCCAACTTGCGTAACCTCACGAGCGAGTGAAATGGGTGCGATTTTCTACGGACGCAACGAGATTTAATTCAACGTGTATTTTGAGAAATACTAATTTTGGAAGGTTGTTCACGAATGTACTGAAATAACTTTTGTTACGTACACGCATATGTGCGAAAGGTTGTCTGTTTACGTCATTAAGAGACTTAAAACCTACCTTTGCACTTTAGGAAAACGAGTGCGTCAGAAGGCTGGGCTTCCAGATCATGAATTTGTGAATGTTTGCGGTCCCAAATACGTTCTTTTTGTCCTTTTTTTCAAGTAAGTTTTTCGTGGATACGAAAATGAACCAAAAAATTTAAAATCAATTTTTTGGCGTAACCATCGTCGCTTGAAAAAGCTAAGTCATACACATGTTGCCACCAGGGCAGTAAAATTTATGAAATGTGCAATCGAAAAGAATCACGAGAAATCTGTCCGGATATTTCTGATTTTTGGTCCAATGGTCAAATTGGTCTAATGGTCCAATTTCCGCACAGTTTAAGTCCCGTAGTATTCAATCATTAAAATCCTTCCAATGGACCACTGGACATGGTACGAATTTAAGCAATCTGATACATGCTGCTTTATCAGAAATTCACGCAGAACATGATTCGTGCAACGAAAATTACTGGAACATACTCCTAACAAAGATATTAACGTTTTTTTTTCACATTGGTTACGAGGAATTTGCACTGCCCGCTCACAAGAAACTCTAAGCTCTACTTGAGTCAAATCGCGCACCACAACGGTTTCAGCAAGCTTCGCTCAATGCTCAATCGAACAATGTTCATTTTCCACCATGTGCTGTTCAAACTATAAGCAATTTGCAATAGCTGAGCCAAACCGTCAAGATTGAAGTTTTCAGATTTTCATACCGCAGAGACTATCATGATATACGTTTAGCGCGCGATGTGAATCACGTAGAGCATTGAGTTTTCATGAGCGGGTTGTTTGAATTCACGCATCAGGAATCATTAAATGTCTTCGGAAGGAGTCGATTTCGGTAATTTTCAATGTGCGCATCGTGTTTTACATAAAATTTTGGTTAAGAAAAATGTATCAGAATGCTGAAATTCGTACCTTGTCTAGTGGTCCATTCTGTTTTCAGACATTATTAGAATAATTTTCACAACTCTTTTTTCACGCAATGGAAGAAGAACACGCAAAACAGGGCGTGAGCTCTCGCCCTCCAATTGAACGTATTTAAATCAAAAGAAGCTGCATCCATCATGACTTGAGCCCTAGCATGCATGTATTCTAATGGATCTGAGGGCTCATGTCGGAATGGCTTTAGCTCTTCTTGATTTGAAAGCGTCCAATTTAGTTGACCTTCTCCGCAAAGTCACATGTTTAGGGATTAGATTCATGGCCGTACAGCATTCTCTCTCTTTGGAGGCATGGTTAACGTAGTATTCAAGGGAGGTTCAAGGGAACCTTGACATGACATCATACAAGAGATATTTTTTGCACACCAGTTCGAGTAAAATTCAGTAATACAAATTAAAAACAAACGAGAAAGTTCTAATACTGTCGTATTAGAAAAGCGCTCAGGTGTTAGTAAATGTATTTAGTGAAGAAAGGAAGTATAAACTCCGTCGACTTGGCTGGGAAATGGAAATAAAACATCAGCTGATAGCAAACAAAGGTTACCAAGGAAACCGTAAACGCGTTTTTTCGTTTCCCGAAAATGATAGCCACCGTTGAGCTCATCAGGCGCGTTTTTTGGCGCGTATACGTAGTATACCGCCTTTGCGATCGTTTCGACCCCCCCCCTCGATACAATAACCGAGTCCCCTAGTTCCTTACCGAAAAGTGACTACCGCGAACTTCTGAGATTTTCCAAAGCGTGTAAAAAGTTTACTAATCCGTCAATAATAATGATTAAAATTTGTTTCTCATTCTGGGGCTCGCTAGTTTATGTGTAATGAATACCAAGAGTCTACGTTTCTTGGTTTTTTTTAAAAAAACCTTAGAATGGGGCGCGCTGATTTAAAATATGCATATATAAGCGGAAGCAAGCGAACTGATTCGAGGATGGCTGACCAGTTCGGCACTCCTTGAATGAGAATTTCACTCACTCCGTTTTGTTCACAACGTTGCTTTGACATATCTCCACAACACTGTTATCCTTTTCAAAAGTTGGTACTCCTTGCTCTGATAGCCGGGGCCACCAGGATAGTGGTAAGTGCAATCTGTGATGAGCCTCGAGACTCATTAGACCATTTGCTAAACGTGGCTCATACAGGAGTCCACTAAGCCCTCTCGTCCCCACGCTCCTGATCACTGCGTCGGCGTCACGAAGAACAATGGGCCTTGGGTCCCAACGCGGCCGATACCCGTACCCCAATTACTCACGCTTCATTAACCATTTCACCGTCACGCTAGGATTCATCCAATTTTCAAAAAAAAT